GTTAACGCGCCCGGAACCACTTAGTCAACTCATCCAAAGGAACAGCCGCAAATTGAGACGCGAACAAACACCAAACCACGCCTTCCAGCCGACGAACTCTCAAGCAGTATACAAGAGGACGGGATATCCTTGGCTCATTGCGAGGAAGCTATACACCGTACGCATCGAGCCGAAGTCTCCGCGTACACAAGAGGAAGGGATGTCCTTGGCTCATTGAGAGGAAGCTACATACCGAGCCGCCGAGCGAGCCCGTCCCCAGCGGCGGAAGCTGCGCTATGGCGGAAGTCCATGCGGCGATGGCAACCAGTCATCAGCCCCGGGCAGCGGCAACCGTCGAGTCGCCGAGCAGGGTGTCGTACCAATTATGCGAGCTCACTGTTTAGCGCGTACATCAGTACCCAAGACGACGGATCGCTGACATCATACTTGAAGGCTTGGAATATTATTCATGTGGGATAGTCGAATAAAAGTGACGATTGGCCTTGTACTAGCTGCTTCGTGCACTCACTACACAAATGTGAAAATAAAAATGAATAAATTGCCGCTAAAAATGTTCGAGTGTGTAAGTATTACAGAAGATTGGTGAAAACTTCTTGTTCTGTATTCACGGCTACTTAAACGTACGTGTCAAGGAAGCTGCAAGAGTCTAGACAGCAGAGCTAAAACTCAAGTTTGTATTGTGTTGTACCAAGTCACGCTGGGCCCACGGGCTGCACCAGATGGTCGACAAACCTCGCCGCCACACAATGGTTACGAAAAAAGTTTGAGTAAGAAAACAAAATGTATCAAGTGTGCAATTGACTGAGCTTTAAGCGAATTCTTTATCTTTTAACTTTCTGAAAATCAATTAATGATATTATGTAGCAAAGAATATTAAACTCATTTAAAGAATAAAGAATACAAGGAAATGTTATATCTATATACAAGAGTGCTCAAAACTTACTAGATTTTGTCTTTGAGTTCATCAATTTTGACCTATCGTTCTTCTAACTGCCTTCTTTTTGTGATCCCCAAATAGGCCTGTTAAACGTTTATCACACGAAAAAAAAAGCATTCAAAATTGACGCTTCAATTCTCAATTACTGCATCCACAGACTTTACACATCCCATTAATATATGACGAGAAATGTTCAAACGTCAGCTGCAGCAATGTTTCCATTTACATAGGGAACGACACTATTAGAATATTTTAAATATTTTTAGAGGCTCCTAGTTTACGGATTTCCTCGAGTAATTGCGAATTTGCTCAATATTTCATGATATTCGAATGACTATGGCCGCAAACTCCAGAATCAAGAATACCAAAAATAAATCTAGTAAGTAATACATTACTGTTCGGCCCAAAAAGGTACGCATTTGTTACTTTTATGCGGGCCGTTGGCTATTTGCGACCGAGTGAGCGACGCGGCACTAGGAACATTTCCGTCGATTAACCCGAGCAAACGCGTTCTCACACCAGGCGACGAAATCATCTTTGCAACCGTTCCGCATATAACCAGGAAGGCGTCGCCACGCAGCGACACAGGCGCCCGACCAGATGCGGCCTCTCGCATTTCGAAGACCATCAAAAGCTAACAAACGAAGTGAAAACATGATGGATAGAGATACTCGAGATACGTAGCCCGAAATGTCTTCCTGCTATTTTAAGGGACTTCAATTTGAGTAACTTAATGCTATACTGGGACAGTGTGCTACATTCCCGCATTACTAGCTTAATGTAATACTGGGACAATGTGTTACTTAACTCCCGCATTACTTAACAGCGAATATTCTATGTGAATTAAAACGAGTTTCCCATGGTTGTCAGGTAATTCAAAGTTTACCAACAACAAAACAGCACGAATTTATCATGAACTCAAGTGTTTATGCAATTTGTTTCTAATTAAAAATGAACGTTTTTAACACAAATAACAAATAATATTTGCATTTCGCGAGTTGTAATACGATTTAACGGTTTAAGTTTCAATGTGTTTAATAGACATTAATACGTTATTAAGTTTGTGCAATTTCCAAAAATGTTAATGACAACATTGCATGACTTCGTCCATTGCCCCCACACACAACTAATACGTTTCAATGGCTACATCCACAAGAATTGTCTTATAATTCAAGGGAGAAAATTTTACAAGACGAGGAAGCCTACCGATTCACATACTCAACTGTAACAGAGAAAAGTTCGACTCATTTAAGACACGCTCCTTGTACTCCAGAGTTCGTTTACTTTTCTGATTCCAAAAACAGTTTGCCGAGAGAAATGTGTTCCTTCTTACTCCTACTTCTAGAAAGCTTAAATGCTTTGAAGTTCCTTCGTAACTTGCACGCCAAGCATGGCAGGAAAACAGAACACTTGTTTCCTAGGGCAACATGCTCAACTATCACTATGATATACGATCTTTGTATTGCAGCTAAGAATGGAGACGGCAAAGCCTAGCTTCATTTCATTTCTAGATAACGTAGTACGGATCGTAATTAGAACTTGCGCAACTGGCTCAATCGTCTTTTTGTTTTCTTGCAAAAGGTACCTGACAACGAGCTCTACGTTAGGATGTAAAGATTGATGTGCTTGACTTTTTGTACACGTCAAAAGTACAACATTATATTACAAAAGTATTCATTAAAACTACGGCATTTTTACTTTTATTAATTTATTAAATTTCAAGTGTACAATTCGAGCGAATATCCTACTGATTATTCATTGCAAAATTAGTGATGCTTTATTTTACAGTGTAAGTAATTTTTCATCTTTTGACACAAAATGTAATGTCAGCCGATGGTTTTCTTCAGAATGTGTTCATATACTTCACGAAGAATGAGAATGTTTTTCGTGTGAAATTTTATTTCATTTTACCATTATCACAATACCGTCGTTGAGACATTGTAAGGAAATTCAAAATGATGAAAAATGTTCAGCTTACAGCAAAAAGCATATTTCGAAGATATTAATTAAAAATTTGCGATATCGTAACTTTTGTAGAGCCAAATAAACCTTCATGAATAAACAACGGCCTAAAATAAGTTTTCTGTCGAGTTTTTACCTTTATTTTGAGAGAGAAAATACTTCTATTGCTTTATGGTCCCTTGCAAATAAATATCACGTTTTATAGTCAATGTTTTAACTTTGTGAACATGCTAAACGCAGGAATATTGTAATTAATTTCGACTTTTTAACGCAACGGTAAGGCCCAAATGACGCCTAACATCTACTAATTCCGAGTCTTAATCTAGACCTGACAATTACTTCTAACTGGGAGCAGATTCACACCGGAATCCACACTTCGCTCTGTTGAGCATTATTTCTTGTTGGTTGTTGATGGTTTGGTGGGGATGTTGTGGTGTAGCAGTGGGCTCGAAATTATTCAAAGACTATGTAAAAGAAGAATACGTCATAAAAACAATTTTTCAGAAGCAAAAAAGTGTTAATTGCCATCATTACAAGAAATATTCGTTCGAAATGACTTAAGTAGCCTATAAACATGAATCACGTTTGTAAGCAACTAGAATTATTTCAAATACTTACAGTCATGTAAAAATGAAAATAAATTTTCTTCTTTTGAAAAATTTGTTTTATGATTTAATCGTCTTCTACTTATCACCTTAGAGCCTAGAAAATTAATGTAAGAAACTTTTCATTAACGAGGTGAGATTCTGAAGTTAAATATCACGAAAAAAGAAATTAAAACTGCAAACGTAGTTTTTAAATATCCTTCAATACCAAAATCCTGAAGTACGCAATATTATGACATGTCGAATGTGTGGGAATATATTTAAATCATACAATGAATTTAAAAACATGTAAATATAATTCAATTATAACAAACCTAATTACAGCAAAAAAGCGCAATATTATGACATGGCGAATGCATGGGAATATATTTAAATCATACAATGAATTTAAAAACATGTAAATATAATTCAATTACAACAAACCTAATTACTAACGAAGATGAAGATTCGTTTTCGAAGCTTCTAATAACGGGCAAATTGATAACAAAACACGAAAAACTCTCGGCTGTACTGGCTGCGCTCTGCACGAACGGGCGTGGCCGCTATAAGAATTAAACCTCGCAAAAGCCGGCTCGTGCGCGACCCATTTGACGCACTGATTCTCTTCGCGCCCGCCGCCATGACGCCACGAGGAGAAACTCAAACAGGTTCACCAACACACGAAATGGAACGCCCGCCCCGCCGCCCAATACTTTCATGAAGATCTGGCCTGGCGATTCTAGTGAGCTTGTAATTGAAATCGGCAGCTGATAACAAATTTCTGTTAGCTTACACCTTCCATTCTCTAACGAACTCGCAAAGATAATTTCACAGTACGCACGGTATGGTGTAGAAAGTTGCCTAAGTTGGCATTCACAGTAAATGAACTGTCAGCGACGATGTTTGTGTTGTGGAAATCAAAAATGTTCGTAATTCGCTCTTAATTGTTTATAAGACAGTATATTTAATTGGCATATAATCACTGGTTTCATTGAGCTAACACTTTGAAGAGTGGAAGGTAATAACGAATTGTATATAGATGAAAATTCACGACCCGCCGGTTATTAGAAAAAGGTTAACAAACTATGAAAACTAAAATTAACGGAAAATGAACACATTTATTTAAAGATACAATCTCAAGAATTTACCCAAGTGTATTCTGCATATTTATAAACAATATATTACCATCTTTCAATGTAATTGGATATTTGCAAACTTGCAAAAAGCTTTTTCTTAATTTCGAATGTGTGAATAGTAATAAGTAAATAGTAATATGAATCAAGGCAGTAAATATAATTCTGTGTTGGCAAAAATTATTGACAAATATGCTGTCATGTCACCGAAGTAATTCCATACTGAGCAATATGTAACCCCACAAATCTAATTATACTTGTTGATGTAACAACTTCTAATAAACAATGTGATAAACTAATACATATTCCTTTTGTCAAGCACATTCTACCTCCTTTTACACCTCACACAACATAATCAAGAACTGTCTACAAAAACAACTATGCCTATCGCTATAAAAACAACAAATTTAAAAGAAATACATTTCTCCTTACCTTAATGCTCTTATACTTCTTCTTTGTTGCTGTGTTGAGATCTTCATGAACCTTATCCAGCAGCCACAAAAGAAATTCCTGAGCATCATGTTGATTGTTCCCTCGGTATTGACTTCCATACTTGTCAACAACTATTTTGAACTGATTGGAGATCTCGGGATCATATTGGCAGGACCAAATTGACTTGAGGAGAAGAGCCAGTTGCTCAGTAACCTCACCTTTCGTACCATGCTTTTTAGAATTTAACTTGTTACGCCTGGACAGATCTACTTTATATTGGTCTAATACAAAATATTCTGCCAGAATGTCTGTGTGGCTTAGGCACTGTAGAACAGCATTGATAAAGCAAGTGTTGCCATGATTACGTAAACCAATCACACCTGGAACTTTATCACTATTTCCCAAATTAACAAGGTGGGCGGGGCGTGTAGGAGGCACCCTAATGTCTGATGAGGATAAAGACACTGTTTCTGTCCTACGCCTACCATACTCATAACTACCATAGTTAAACTTATTATTGGGCACACCAACTGTAGACATGTGTTGGACCATTTTATTGATGAACTTCTTCCAAGAGGGTCTTCTGAACACTTTCTTGTTAGATTTTTGGGTTTCTGAATTTTGCACTTCACTAATTGTTTGAATACTCGATCCCTTCACATCTTTACCTTCTTTATGTTTCGCCTTACGTTTACTCATTCTCGACGACACAAAAGGATTCCGCGGCAGTGTAAAAGTACGTTTCAACTTAGATTCTGGATAACGGTTAGGCCTACCATAATCTGCAGAATCGTTTATTAACTGTGTTTCTTCACGATCAAGTATTTCACCTTCAGAAGAGGACTTCATGATTCTCGTAGAGTTTCTCTCTGTCATACTGGGCACTTTAAAAACTGAACACACATTTAAAGCACTTCACAAACTGTTAAACGTGTCAACAATCGTCATTGGCACTCACTATCCTACACCAGCAGCGCAGCCATTACTGAACAGCAGACCTGCGGGAAGACAAATTGAGGGACGCTCCTCACGACTCCGCACGGAACGAAGAAATAAGTTCAGAACCCGCAGGCAGGGGCCGCTAGCGGTCGCGACGTGCGCGCTTTCTGTCGGCAGAGAAAAGCATCATGACCCGCGCATCACAAACGCACACGCTACTCATTCGGACGTGGAAATCTCAGCGCAACGGAAGGCACATTATGTTGCGCAATTCACATAAAACAATTCGCTGCACTCGCTCTAAATACGAGTTCAGAGCTGACGAAAGCATTTTGTAATGTTAACCTCACAGTCGCTGTCCTAGTAACGTTCGCTCGAGTCGCAGGTGGAATATGAGCCGTAACAGTATATTTAAAGGCGTTCAGAATGTTATCAACCAGGCCTAATAGGAAACAAGTGCTAGATTTAAAGTGTTAATTAAATGTTCTACGTAATATGGCAAAAAGCACGCCAGAGAATTCGCAGGAATCACTAAGCAATATCATATTCTACTCAATGCATCTGCATGTTCTAGCGGTTTTGGCAGTTCTCTCGGTAAGTCAGTGACGTATTTTCACTCATATAAATGAATACTATTTTGTTTTGTGAAGAGATTAAAGACAATTTACGTAGACCCATCTGGCTGCACAATCATCCTCATAACTGATACATATTGTTGGGAATAAAAGAAAAATAGTCTATAAAATAATTCACTCGTGAGAAAAATATTACAGTGGTGAACCTAATTTACAATGTATATGATTTGATTTATTTAGTCAAAGAACACTAAAAACTTTATGTGACAATGGGGATAAGTATCATTTGGTTATATCTCGTTCATGATGTGACCCTCATGATTCTCAAAACAAATACGATACATCGAAATTCACATTGCTTTGTTCGATCACACTAAATCTCAAAATATTTCAAACTTTCAAGAAAGGGATTCTAAATGCGCAATTCGTTATATTATTCACGTGCATTTTTGGAACAAAACATTCCAAGATATTCCTTCAAGATTTTGTAAATTTTTCCGCGTTTTTGTAAAAATGTTCTTCGCTGTATCAGAATATTATGCAGGTATACTCAAAAGTGCCAAATACTGATAAATTGCTAAACATTTTTTGTACCGATTTTGCCATAAAAATATGCTTAGCTTACATGAATAGTTTGATCTGGAATGGTTTATATAAAATATTCACTTTTGAAATGGGCCAGACTTAGTCACATCCAAAGCAACATTCCGAGTCAAATGATTACTCGCATGTGAAATAATTTATTAAACGAATGCAGCCAGGAAGTAACTGTGGTTATCAGATAAATTTGAACAGCAACACATACACGAGCGAAGCGAGTGACTCCCGTAGCACAACCAGGTAACAATATGATGATTGAAGCGCTATGTATTGTTATTAAAACGATCAATACTTAACGATGAATAATAGAATTGATTGTCCCAGTCAGTCATAGAGCTTAAAGCTCCCTTCAAAATTTATAATGCAACAGTTGCCGATTGCACTCTTTAGCACTGTGACATCGCTTAAGACCATGTGTATTGTGCATCACAATGTATTCACACAAATGTTCAACCAGTTTTTGCACATCTGATGCTTTCTTTTCTCTAATCTTTGTACATTGTCCGGATGAATTCCACAACCACTAGGTCGAAAGTTGATATATAACATGTATAAAAATAAATGCATGTTTATAATAATTTTGAATTGTAAATAATGTTGTATCTTTTGTAAAAGTTTGCAAATGAATGTGGTCAGATTTTGAATGTGTAATAAAATATTGCATAAGATGTCACTGAAATTTCAATACTCGTACAGCTTCTTTAAATCACTACATGTGGCATGTTGTTTCTTTACAACACATGGATTGAACCAGAAAGTATGATTCCAGATAGTCCGTATGTCAGTGGAGGGGAAGTTTCCGTTCGGACACCTCCCCGCCCCATAATAAATATTTTAGAAAAAATAAACAAAGTACACATTATAATCTTGCAATATTAAATTATTTCAAACAAGCAGTAACTAATAACACACAAAATGTGACATTAATTATTTTGCAATATAATGATATAACATTAATAATCTAATACTAATATTTTATTACAAATAAGCAATCTTTAAAGATTTCAATATGAATATACTCACTTTTTAAAATTTTTTTATAATTAAATAAGTATTTATAATATTTTTATAGCTTCAGCCGAGATCTTATTGATAATTCATTGAAGATGAATGAATTGATGTATCAACCGCAATAATAAAACTTGAAGAGCTACAACTAGGGTTGCCACCTCTCCGGTTTTAGACCGGAGACTCCGGTTTTTGAGCTTCATATCCGGTCTCCGGTTTTTGAAAAATTAATTCTCCGTTTTTTCTTTTCTTTTTGTTTTTTTCAATTTCAATACATTTTCAAATTTTTACCAAATAAATAGATTTTCAACTATAAAATTTAAAGCTTTTTCATATTTCATCAGAAATCTATCCTTTCCTTCTTCACTAGAAAGATAAAGAGCAGAACATGAAAATTGGTCTTGCGATTCTGCTGTTATCGCCATCCGCTGTCTCTTTCTTTCTACGTATATTCAGACAGAGACAGCATCTAGCGATTATGCGAGAATCGCATCGCGCAACAGTTTCAAGAAATAATCCCCGGGAATGCTATTCGATATCTTCATTTTGAACAAGATCGAATTTTCGTTCGTTTTTCTTTAGAAAATTATTTCTTGGAAACATTAAGATAAAGGTACATTTGTGATTCGTGGGTACTGCACGTCATGTATTACTTGTGCGAAAACTAAGAAACGGTTAATTAACATTAATTCAAAACATTTTGAATTAATAGTCTAGTCAATTTCTTTTTAGATTTCAGTATACCCCTCCCCCCTGGTCGCAGCGGTCTCCGGTTTTCTGGATTTGGCAAGGTGGCAACCCTAGCTACAACAGCATATACTTTCTCGCTGTAACATTTTTCAATTTTCGATAATTCACAGTTCGACAAAAAGAGCACGCTATGTTCAAGGGGTCCTTTCTCCATCAGAGGGTAAACTAGTGGTGCTACAACAGCTCATGCTTTCTCTCGTTATTGGAAAGAGCTACGTGAATACTGAAAAATTGCATTTCTCGCCGCTAACACCTCAGTAGTATTAGAAAACGTGCAATTCAACCAAGAAAGCGAGCATCGCAGTTGCCAGCGCAGCGTAGTCAAAACTATGTGCATTCGGTTGGTTATAATATCATACAGTAAATAGAATATATGCAATTGACATCAATATAATTACGAAAAATTCTGGTTACTCACTCATGAGTTGTAAGATGTAAGATAACAGTTCCGATAGCATTCCATCGTCTTTTCTTTTATTCAATTACGCACTAATTTTTTTTAGGGATCAGTGAATAAAAAATGTATATAACATGATCAGGCATTCTGAGGAAGTAAATTTATAAAATAAAAAACTGCTTCCTAATTCACCGCAAACGAAGCACTGACTCCTCTGTCCAGGAGTTTGACCAACTGGACTTTATAAAACAGCTGTATTTTATCACCGCCCAATATCTTGAAACAATTAGCTTCTCAAATATCGATGCCGTATTGTTGCGATGTTTCTATTGAGCTTTGCAGATTGATTAAAAAGAAATTCATTACTTTGAGAATACAAATTGAGTAAAAAGGAAAAAAAATAAAATAAAATAAAAACTGAGAGTGTTAAAATAAAATTAATATTGGCATATTCAATAGTAGATTATAATTAAAATTAAATTAATTATTTTTCGTATCAATCATTCAATTTTTCTCGTGGCCCGTAGTTGGCGAGTTACATGTATATATTTCATTAATTTCAAGCAGGGATTAGTAAATATTATTCGTTTTTTTCGAAAAACTGTACATTACTTTTTTTAAAAAGATTCTGTAAAACAGACTTTGTCTGAGGTCCTGTAGTTTTGAAATGTTTTTTGCAATTTTTGAAGGAAAAAAAAGCAATAGCCGAAAATGAGACTGACGCCATATTTCTTGCCATTTCGTATTACATATGGGGATAAAATTTTAAGAAACAATTTGCAGCGGTTTCTGAGACTTTTTTGGTAAATTTCGCAAAATACAGAATTTTGCAAATTGCAAAATACGGGAAAACTACTTGCTGTTTCGAAAAATTGAACATGACGTTTTTTGAAGAGCTGAGACCTGTATCATTCTCTTAAACGTCCTTTGCACTATTCAACAACGATATTTAATCAAAACATTTGCAGCCATTTTTTAAAAATGTCCCAAGTGCTTCATATAAATAATTACACTCCAAAATTAAAATATCGGTTTCAAATCCCAGGGGCCGCGACATCAGCTAGAACGATTGGGGAATATCAATTTTGGAGAAAATCGGCTGAATCGGTTTACTCGCTAACGTTGTGCACAGACGGACAGTCGGACGTTTCGCCGTTAATCGATTTTTCGGTTTGAAGGATGCATAAAACATGGGTTCTGGTTACACCACGTGTAAAGGAGTTTTCAACCATATTTAGCAACTGGATTTATCCACTTTTCCTTAGCAGAGCCCGGCAATAAGAGGTTTATCCCAAAAATTCGTCATTTTCCGGCGGACGAGTACAATACTTTCTCTTCTTACGTTAGTAAGTGCGAGAAAGCAACAATAAGAAAAAAGATTACAGCCATTTAAAGAAAAAAAATCTTAATTTTATAATCGCCTCGTTTCACGCAAAATTACGCGAAAACTGTTCACATTTTGAAGAAATTGACAAGATCTCGTTTTAAGATTGAGTTTTGAAGGACAGATTTCTTTAAGGAAAAAATATTTATCGTCAATATTGCGGATGTAGAAAGACGCCGAACATTTTTAAACTTCT